CCCCCCCCCAGCCACACTTCTTGCCGCGGACTTCTCAGCAGTGTCGCCAGCACGGTGCAAGCAAGGTCGGCTGGCCGCGCCTTCTGGCCCAGTATCTCCCGCCAAGTTCCGACACCAGTACTCCACCTAGTTCACTCCAGCCCCCACCCTCTAACTCGCACCCCCGGCTCACTCCTCCATTTCCTACCCCTGGGTGGGCCCCTCCGACCTCCAATCCCACCCCCTCCAGTGGCCCAGCCCTGCCTCCTGAGTCGCCCAGCTCCGCCTCCCCCCCTTCCCTATCCACTGAGTCCTCCGCTTTTCCTCTCCGCCCCCAACTCCCGACCCCACCCCAGTTCTACAATCCCTCCCCGCTCTGTACCTCGTCGTTCCCTCTCCGTCCCGAGCCCCTTCCTTCCACCTTCACCCCTCCATCCCGTGCCCAATCCCTCTGCTCCCCACTCCTCCGGTCTGGCACCCTCTGTACCCAAGCCCCACCTCCTTGCCTCTCTAACTCCGTTTTCAGGTTCTCACTGGTGAGTGATCAAGTTTATGTCAAGTAAATATGTAAAACTCAATCACACCCACTTTTCAAAAGAGCGGAGAAATGATCTTTCTACCAATGAAGTAAGAAGGGAGAGGCACAAGGTCACCAAGGAGTGGTGAAAATGTTACAATTGGATAAGGAACAGGGTGTGTGTGTGTGTGTGTGTGTGTGTGTGTGTGTGTGTGTGTGTGTGTTGGTGGTGGTTGGGTTCTAATCCATAGCAGACCAATATTCAGGATGCAGCTTTGGGCAGGGAAGAGGACACTATAGCAGAAGTCTGTGGTTTTTGCCCACCCTAGTGTCCCACTCAGTTTTCTTTTGGGGAACCACTTCTCTCCCCTCTCAGTCTATTTAATTTGTATAGGGCTGGCCATAACCCTCCCCTCACCAGCTCTAGGGACTAGACCTAGCCAGTTTATTCTGTTTTTCTGATCACAGTGATTTGTTCAGGGAAGGCATGTGACCTAATCTAGCCCAGTGAGAACCAACCCTGAGACATTTGCTGCAACTATCACAAAAGAGGTTCTCTTTCTACTGGAGTTGCCAAGCTGGTGGGATGTGAGCCTGGAGCTCATGGGGCTCTGTTACCATGAAAGAAGAGGCTTTATGCTGAATGTCTATGCAGAGGGAAGCAGAAATGAAAGTTTGTAAAAGACAGTCCTAACACTAGCATTAGGTGCCTGGATCCAGCCATACCTGAAGTCCATTTTAATCTTAGAACCATTATGGGTTTTTTGGTTGTTGCTGTTGTTGTTAAATATTGTTTTATTCATTTACTTTGTGCTTAGATTAGTTGAGTTGATTTCAGCTGCTTACCCCCAAAAGAATCTTGATAAACTGAGAGAATATCTCCTGAGCCTCAGTACAGAGACATGTGAATGAGAGGTCAAAATTAGGAAGGGCTGCAGGAGAAGCAGGTCCTATCCGAGGAAGCAGAGGCTATCTGAGTCATAGCAGATAGCCAATCTGAGGATTTACGGTGCCCAAGGAAAATTGACATTTGTTAAACAAACGTTAAAAGAGGACTAAAACTTATATACACAGATGTGCCGGGCATCTATGATCTAGGTTAGTGTTAAACTTCACTTAATGGTTCCTGGCAGCAAAGGTGATATGGGAAATGTGTTTTTTGAAACGGTTTCCAGTTTTTGCTAAAAGGATATGTTCTTGTTTGGGGCTTCCCTGGTGGCGCAGTGGTTAAGTATCCGCCTGCCAATGCAGGGGACACGGGTTTGTGCCCCAGCCCTGGAAGATCCCACATGCCGCGGAGCAACTAAGCCCGTGCGCCACAACTACTGAGCCTGCACTCTACAGCCCACGAGCCACAACTACTGAGCCCACACGCCTAGAGCCCGTGCTCCACAACAAGAGAAGCCACCACAATGAGAAGCCCGCGCACCACAACGAAGAGTAGTCCCTGCTCGCTGCAACTAGAGAAAGCCCGTGCACAACAACGAAGACCCAACACAGCCAAAACTAAATAAATTAATTAATTTTAAAAAAAAGGGATATGTTCTTGTTTTTCTGGAGAGACAAGTTTTGTTCCTGGAGCTGAAGCTTAGGGGAGAGGTTTACATTATTAAAATGCAGAGTGATCCGAGCCAACAGGAACTATGGGAGCTCGGTGCAGGCACCTCACCCAGCCTGGGGGGGTTGTCAAGAAGGTTTCCTAAGGAGGAGACCTCTGAACAGAGACTTGAAGGATGAATAAGAGTGAAGAAGGTAAAGAGAGGGCTTCCCTGGTGGTGCAGTGGTTAAGAATCCACCTGCCAATGCAAGGGACACGGGTTTAAGCCCTCATCTGGGAAGATCCCACATGCCGTGGAGCAACTAAGCCCGTGCGCCACAACTACTGAGCCTGAGAGCCACAACTACTGAAGCCTGTACGCCTAGAGCCCGTGCTCTGCAACAAGAGAAGCCACCGCAATGAGAAGCCCGCGAATCGCCAGGAAGAGTAGCCCCCGCTGGCAGCAACTAGAGAAAGCCCGCGCAATGAAGACCCAACACAGCCAAAAATAAATAAATAAAATAAATAAATAAATATAAATAAAATAAATAAATTTATTTTTTAAAAAAGTATTCTGGGCAGAGGGAAGAGAATGCAATGGCTTGGAGGCAAAAAAAGAGCTTGGGACCTTGAGATATTTGAAAGGTACCTGTGGCTACAACGTGGAGTGTAAGAAGAGGAGGTGGGCAGTGATGATGGAATGGTGCATGCAGGTGAGATCAAACCAGATCTGAAAGCCATGAAAGAAGTTTGGGCAATATCCTGGGAGCACTGGGGAGCCATGGCAGAGTTTTGAGCAGGACAGGAACACAATATGTGCCTTAAAAAGATTCCTCTGGTTGCCATGTGGAGAGTGGATAACAGGGGTGAGACTGAAGGTCAGAGAACAGGAGGGAGGCTGGGGTGCAGATCTGGGTGTAAAGAAGAGATGCCTGGGCCAGAGAAGGGGCAATGGGGGTAAAGGAGAGGAGACAGATTGAAAAGATATTGAGGTTCACCCACACATCAACATATTACTATACTGATATGGATAAACAAACTGTGGTACACCCATACAATGGATACTACTCAGTAAGAAAAAAGGATGAACTATTGATACACATACAACACAGATGAATCTCAAAATCATTATGCAGAATGAAAGAAGACAGACACAAAAGAGAATTACTATGTGATTTCAATTCCATGAAGTTCCAGAACGGGCAAGGATAATCTACGGTGGAAAAAATAAAGTGCAAATGTCCTGAGGTGGGATTTGCCTGGTAAGTTCAGGGATCAGCAAGGAGACCAGTGTGGCTAGAGCAGAGGGATGGATGGGAAGATTGGGAGATGAGATCAGAGAGATGATGTGAGGAGGAAGTGGACAGTGGTGTGGAAAGATCATGCAGGGTGAGTTTTTTTTAGGTTATGTGTTGGCTTTCACCCTGAGGGAGATAGAAACATAGAAGGCTTTTGAGCAGGAAAGTGACATCTGAGTTAGGTCTGAATGAAGTCCTCTTTCCCCACAGGTTGGAAAGAACTGGAAGCTCTCTCATTTACAAAACAAACCACCCAAACGAGATTTATTTTGCTCATGAATCTGCAATCTGGGCAGGGCTCAGTGGGGACAACTCATCTCTGCTCCACTTGGCATCAGCTGGGGCAGCTTAAAGACTGTCGGCAGGAATGATCTGATGCTTCCTCAGTCACATGCATGGTGGTTGATGCTGCCTGTCAGCTGAGACCTCACCTGGGGGCTGTGGCTGGAACATCTACATGTGACCTTTCCATGTAGCTGCTTGGGCTTCCTCACATCATGGCAGCCAAGACCCAAGGGAGAGTGAGAGTGAGTGAGGAGACAGGCAGAAGCTGTGTCTCCTTTATGACCTAGCCCTGGGAGTCATGCAGTGTCACTTCTTTTCATCAAGGCAATCACAAAGTCCTGCCCAGTGGAGGGAAATAGACTCTATTTCTTTTTGAAATAATTAATTAATTAATTAATTAATTAGGCTGCACCGGGTCTTAGTTGTGGCACACAGGATCTTCGTTGCAGCATGCAGGATCTAATTACCTGACCAGGGATTGAACCCGGGCCCCCTGCATTGGAAGCGTGGAGTCTTAACCACTGGACCACCAGGGAAGTCCCCAGACTCTACTTCTTGATGGGAAAGGTCAAGCTTCCACAGGAAGAGCATGTGGAACTGGAAATATTACTGTGGCCATTTTGGAGAAATATCTCCCACGCTCTTTATAGAACATCTTGGAGCTCTGCTATGAGCAGCACCGTGGAGGTAGAGTCTTAGGCTTTGGGATATTGGAGAAAAAATGCTTGATTTATTGACAGGGAAATAGGGTTCAGCAACAAAACCCCAGAACCAGGCACACACCCAATCTGACAAGTCAGCATCTCTGGCTACTGTTTTCTGTACAACTGCTTAGATATTTTAGTTGCTGGTGTTCACCTCTGTAAGACTCACCCTCCCTACTGCCCAAGACTGGGGGGAATTGCTCCTAACCTCTCTACTGCTGCCTCTTGTGATCTGATTTTCTCTCTGCTCTCCCTTCCCCTGGCTCTGACTCCTCATAGTATGGGTTTATAAAGGTCAGCTGGCATTCCT